TTCTTAATTATTTTGAGGAGCTGGGCTACTGAAATTTTTGCTGACACAGTTTGGGTATTATTGTCACTGCATAAACAGGAGGAAATATGAAAAGATGGATGAGCAGGTGGGCTTCCAAAAAGGCAGAGGGATTAAATTCATGATTGCAGAATTCCAAGTCATGTACTTGGGAGCTAATAGTTTGTGCAGCAAGTCATGAGCTCATTAAATGCAAATAATTGAAGAAACAAAACTCCTAATCTAACAGTCACAGAAGGACAATGCAGTCTGATACATACATAAAATTGTGGTCACCCATATTCAAGAAAAGTTATTTCAGGTGGGAACAGATGCAAAAAAAGTCTGTTAGGACCATTCAAGGAGGGGAATTTTTATTTTGTGAGAGGAGATTAGAAGAATTGGCTTATTCAGGCTAGTAAAATAAATTCTGATATGTCTGCTACCTATGAAAACTTCAGAGAAGTAAACATCAGGGAAGGAAAAGAGCTATTTAAAGATAAAATTGTCAAAAGAATTAATGGTTATAAAACTTCTACAAATAAATTCAGACTGGCAATCCAAAGACCATTCCAAATCATGAAAAGGATGAAACTCTGTAACTTTGTTTTTCCATAAGAGCAGTGGATGCTAAAAAAATAAACTACCTTTAAGATGGAATGTGATAAACCAAAAAATGGGATTAAGTGAAGTGGTGGTGTAAGGTTTTTATCTAGGACATCCTGGCGAGTCCTATGTATGTCTTATGGTCCTAGAGGGAGGGTTAATGCTTAACTACTGCTCAGCTGTCAAGCGGCATAACTTAATCCACTGGAGAGCCCAAAGGTGAAAAAACAGGTGTTACACAGAATTGCAAGAGATTGCTCCCCACAGGCAGATCTCAGTGAACTGTATCCCACTCATCTATGTCGTCCCAAGTTTGTTATCAGAATTAAATTCAGCTGTAAGACTCATGGTTTTTTTCCAGTAATTTTCATAATCTTAGATACAGCAATTACTAGCAATTGACCATAGTTTCTGTAGTGCACTTCTGTCAGATTAGAGAGAGATTATATATAACAAGAAAAAATGTGATGCATCTTCTAATCACTTGTTTTCTCATACCTGCAAGCTGGAGCAAACCATATTGTGAACACTGACATACATGTTAGAAACTGTGAAAGCAGAAAAAAGCTTGAAAAACCCATGGTTTCAGAAGGCAGGAAAGTCAGAAAGGGAAGCTGTGCTTGTATCCATCACTCTGCCAAGAAAGGCTGTTAAATTTTTGTGATTTTTTTTTGTAAGCAATTCTGCTCCATGTTATGCACTGGAGATGCATCATCTGAGCAGTTTTAGACAAGACCGTGACTAGGATGTTGGTGACACTAGATGCCTTGTCTACATTAGTTCTCCAGATACTAATGGAACTGAAAGAGAGAAATTTCAGGGGCTGAAAAGTTAGCAAATAAATAGATCTGTTCTGGGTTAACACTTATAGGCAGCTATTCCTCACACTGCTTGCTCAGCCCCCCGCAGCTGCTTGTTCAGTTTCCCACAGCAGGATGGGGAGAGAATTAGAAGGGCAAAAGTGAGAAAACTCATGCATCAGGATGAAGACAGTTTAATAAGTGAAGAAAAACAAACAAAGAAACAAACAAACAAGTGGTGCAAAAGCAATCACTCATGACCAGCTGACCAATGCCCAGCCAGTCCTGAGCAATAGACACCTTGGAAACTTCCCCCTGCATTCCTCCCCGCCTCCAGCTTTTACTCCTGAACGTGACATTATATGCTATAGTACATTCCTTTGGTCAACTCGGGTCCAGTGTCTTGGTCCTGTCCCCTCCCAGCCTCTTGCCCACCCTTAGCTGACTCACTGAGGCAGCAGAGTGAGAAACAAGAGAAGGCCTTCGTGCTGTGTCAGTGTTCAGCAATAGCGAAAACACTGGTGTGTCATCACCACTGTTTGGTAACAAATGCAAAACATAGCACCATACGGGCTGCTATGAAGAAAATTAACTCCATTCCAGACAGAACCAGTACAATATCCCATTGCTAAAAGAAAAGACAAAACATTCCTGTGCTAACGAGTAAGTAGTTCATTTTTCATTCCAATGGGGTTTTCTCCTCTTCACTGAGGGATTAATTGGATGAGGAATTAATCTGCGATTCTCTGATTCTCTATTTTATTTTAAGGCATTTCTGCTTCAGTGATTATTTTGTTGCAATGAGGTGGTAAATTGATGTTTACGCCATTTAGCATGTGATATAACACCTTCATTTGTCTACATCACGATACTAAACCTGGTGAGGTTTTGTCATGGGTAGGCTAAACTTTTATTACTTTTATGTCCTTAAAAATCTGGAAATAAGTCAGTTCACACATTTACACCATTAAGTTGCTTCTATTACTCTCTTGCACCAGCCCCAATGACCCTTGTTGGACAGTAATGTACTTCCAAAAGAATGCCCGTTGTAGTCTTACAGAAAGTTTTGCTTCTGCTATTTTAACTAAAACAGTACTTCACAGTGAATAGGAAACACAAGGTTGCCTTCCTGAGATAACAGCTGAATTTTGAAATACCACTTCAGTTTCTGTTTCTGACAGAACTAAAACTGGGAGGAAGCTGAGTGGAAGCTTCTATGTTTTTCTCTGTTGCAACCTGTGGAGTTTAACATAATGGAGTTCTTACCATATATGACTTGTCTGCCACCTGTGAGAAAGATTTGGGTGGCCTGATCATCATTTGAAGACAGTGTTGTGTCCAAGGGAGACTCTGGGGTTTATGTAAACTGCTGTGTGATTTGGTGGCTGCAGGCCTCTGCTTCTGACAACAGCAATTTCTCAGGGAAAATATGTGGGGCTTTCAAGTCCCTATGTTTCTTCTCTGTCCTTTTCTGTGGAAGCACCATCTGGCCTCTGGTAAGGATTTCCACACATTGCAAAAGGTGAGCAGCTCTAAAACAACTTTTGCTTTGGAGGGAGTTTATCTAGACATTAGTGTCTTAAGGAGAAGCTCACTCTTATGACACTGTTTTGACCACTTGAGATGTACTGTAGAGAGATTCTCTCCAATGTCATCCAAGTCCCATGAAACACAAGGTGCTTTTTAAGAATTTGATTATAAATAAAAGACTGGTATAATATATAATTGTGAATCTCATGTATGTCTTGCCTGGGTTTGCCAATATATAGTCTGCTTTGAGAACCTGTTGACACAAGGTGCTGTTCTCTCCTGATTTCCAACTGGGGAATTGCATTTCAGTTTCTTACTGCTATTTTTCCTTGTGAATGCTGTACTCTGTGACTGGTTAGAGGACAATATTGCAAGAATATCACTGATTAGAGGGGAATATTGCAGATGATACCAAGCTGAGTGTTGCAGTTGTTATGCTTGAGGGAAGGGATGTCATCCATGGGAACCTTGACAGGCTGGAGGAGTGGGCCCATGTGAACCTCATGAAAGTCAACTAGGCTAAGTGCGAGGTCCTGCACCTGGGTTGGGGCAATCTCCAATATGAATACAGGCTGGGGGATGAATGGATTGAGAGCAGCCCCACAGGGAAGAACTTGGAGATACTGGTGGATGAGAAATTGGTTATGAGCCAGCAATATGCACTTGCAGCCCAGAAAGCCAATTGTATTCTGAGTTGCATCAAAAGAATTGTGGCCAGCAGGTAGAAGGAAGTGATTCTCCCCTTATACTCCATGCTTGTGAAACTCCACCTGGAGTACTGCATGCAATTCTGGGGTCCCCAGTACAAGAAAGACGTGTATCTGTTAGAGTGGGTGCAGGGGAGGGCCATGAGCATGGTCAGAGGGCTGGAAAACCTTTCCTATGAAGAAAGGCTGAGAGAGTTGGGGTTGTTCAACCTGGAGAAGAGAAGGCTCTAGGAAGACCTTTCAATATATAAAGCAGGCTTATGAGAAAGATGGAGGAAGACTTTTTACCAGGGCCTGTAGTGACAGGATAAGGGATAATGGTTTTAAACTGAAAGAGGGTAGATTTAGATTGGACATAAGGAAGAAATTTTTTATGATGAGAATGGTGAGACACTGGAACAGGTTTCCTAGTGAAATTGTGGATGCTCCATCATGGCAAGTGTTCAAAGTCAGGTTGGATGGAGCTTTGGACTAGATGATCTTTGAAGGTCCCTTCCAACTGAAACCATTTTGTGATTCTGTGATTCTAAGACCGTCTATGTAATACAACAGCACAGCTGTCCATAGAATGTTCTCATCTTGTTATGTATGTATTTAAGGATCATTTTGCTAACATGTCAGCTATTTCCCTTACTCCCTTCTCTTTTGACTATGTCACAGTATAATTTCTTTTTTTCAGTATAAAACATTTTTCATTTTAATGATGTTTCTAAACCTTTTTTTACTGAAGATTATGTAATGTTATAAATCAAAGAAAGAGAAAGTACAATGTGACTAAATGTAGCTTAGAATATTATAAGGTCCTTAAAATGAAGCCAAAAAGAATGATAAATTGCAATAAAGAAAATAATGAAACAAATGCACACATCCATTATCTTTTATAATCCAAAGTATTCAATGCTGGATACCAAAGACAGAGTTCTTGATGTAGTAAGTTTAGTAGAAGTGGTTGTTCCCAATGAACAGGTTCTCTAAAACATATAAAAAAATATGCTTTCCAGTTACCAGGCAAGTTTTCTAAAGTGGCCAAACCAAAAGCCAGCTTCTCTAGTTTCAAATGAAGTCAATAGGTATCTCATCCCTGGTAGAATCAAGACCTTTGCAAGTCTTTTGCTGCCTCCTTTCAAACTCTCACCAAAAACATTGCCAATTAAGGGAACTCCATACAAGTGCAACACAAATTTATTTGCCCCTCTCCCAATGTTAGTGACCACTGCAGAAAATATTTATTAATCTCTTACTCATCATAACATTAGAGAGTTTTTTCTTTGCTAAGCTGGAGTATGCTTTTTATTTTTACCTTCTCCCTTTTTTTTTTTTTTTTTTTTATGCACTGATTTTAATTATCTTTCCCTCACAGGCTGCTTAAAAAAACTCAAAGTGCTCAATGTGAGTTTCAATAATTTGAAGTCAATCCCTCCAGAATTGGGTGATTGTGAGAATCTGGAAAAACTGGATTTGTCTGGAAATATGGAAATAAGAGAGCTCCCATTTGAAGTAAGATAACAAATTACGTTTCTTCCATCTTTTTTATTTGGCTTACAATCTTAAAATCTTTTCTTAACAGATTAGATCTCCTTCCTTGCAGTTTTTAGCACTAATGTTTTAGTAGTAATATCACTGAAAATGCCTTAGCAACAGTTAAATGAGACCAACTTCTTTGTTTTGGTTTTCAAGTGGCTAAATTTTGCTTGTATTTATTCTGATATATGAGGTAGGACATGATCCCAAAGGGAACTTGGCCAGTGGTGATAAGGAGAAGGCTGCAAATAGCTATTTTCTGTGAAGGTGAAGTGCACCTTGACAGTCAGATTCACATACTAACCTTCATTTGTTTCCAGTGTCTGTTTTCCTTTAAAAAGAATATGGAGAGTTCTATAAACAGCACTGCATGTTGCTATGAGCATAAATATCTGTCTGAAAGGGATATTACCTGTGAGGCATGGCATGAATATATAAAGAAGACTGAGAAAAGGACTCCCAGGCATGCACCAACATTGTTTCTTGTGTTGGATGCATAACGCTCTCTGCCACAGCTGCTCTGAGACTTACTGTTCATGGACAAATGAAACCATTGGCTGGTACCTAACCACAATTTCAGATGTCATCTGTATTTATCAGGTTCTTAATATCCTGATTCTTGGAGGATGAGTGGGGGGAGCTTTAGGAAGAAGTGCCATGCTCTTCTTTACTGATCGATTCCTACTTTTTGTCTAAACATCTTTTACTGGCGATTCACAGGCAATGTTGGAGTGGATTAAACTTATGTGGTACCTGATTTGGCCATGCTTATGTTTTGTTCTGAGGAAATGCAAACAGTAATTAACTTTCCCCTCTGACTTTTCACTGTAAGGTAGTTTATCTGAAAAGAATTTTTAAAAAATGATGTGACGGAAACAGAAACAAAGGGTGAACATTAGCTTCACACCATAAGTGGACACTGGATAGAAATGCTAGCAACAACACAAAGAGCACAGGTCTCCTTTCTCCTTCCTCTCCCCCTCCTTGAGATAGCAAAGGTAGGGGACAAACCAGGTAAAACTTTACTGGTAAAGGAACCGTATGGAATCAGAAAAACTTATAACCTGAACAGGCAAAGGAATTAAATATAAGCATGTAGGAATAGTGGGTAAATTCAAACCTGTGGACTAGAACAGTGAATTTAGCCCCGATCATTGATATGTTAAAATCTGTGAGTACTTTCCCAGTTGCTTTTAAAGGCCTCATAGTGCAAAGGCTTACCCATGTCTATGCATTATGGACAGCCTTTGCATGTAAACATAACTGTGCACGTAAGTCTTTCCAGGGCTGAGTCCTAAGAGACCACTTGTTCTCTTAGAAAGCTCAAAAACATTGTTTCCTTCTGGTAGTGTCCTATTCAATGGGATTGAAAGCCACTAAAGCTGAATGTAGGCTACTGGGTAGTGGTTCACTTACAACCTATGGAAAAAATTTGGAGCTGTGCAAATGACTTTATGTAACAGCAAAAACTAGAAGCAACATCATGTCAGCATGGTCTAAAATGTCAAGAAGAAAAATATTGGCATTGTCTATTGTGTTTCCTCGTTCTCTGGAGGCTGGCACTTAATTTATACTTGCAGTGACCTGGGAGGTAGGCTACACAAACTCTTCTGCTTTAGTTTTATAAAATTGGTGTCTGAGAATCAACATTTCAAGGGCAGCTTTAGAAGCTGAACATACAATTAAAGGAACACTGTTGTCAAATGATTTAAAATGCTGCAAAGTGACCTTTGGTTTACTCAGTATGGCTGATGTTATTGAGAGCAATTGCATCAGTATCCTTGCTAATGTAATAGGTGTCTGATGTTTGATTCTCAGATGGGCAAAAGGTTGTAGTCACTGACAGGTAACTAATGAATTAAAATTTTGAATTAGTGTGAACAATCTAAAAAGGAAAAACAGAGAGACAATGTGAAGTGTTGTGGTGGGTTAACCTTAGCTAATAGCCAAAGGCCCACCCAGTTGCTCACTCCCTCCCCCTCCTCAGTGTTACATCAGGAAAAAATAAGTAAGAAAGCTCATGGGTCAAGATAAAAGACAGGGAGACTGTTTACCACTTACTCTTGTGGGCAAAACAGTCTGTACTTGGGAAAGATTAATCTAATATTTGCCAATATATATTTGGGTAGTGAGAAACAAAGACATTAAAACAACATCTTTCCTCCCTGCTTTCCCAAGGTCAACTTCACTCCTTCACTCCAGATTCCTCTCCCAGCCCTGAGCAGTGAAGCAAGGTGGGGGAAGTTATAGCCAGTACTCTGTGGTTTCTAGCTGCTTCTTCTTCCTCCTCACACTTTCCTCTTCTCCAGTGTGGGGTCTCCACCGGCTGTACTTTCTTCAGATGGTATATCCATCTGCAGCAGCGTGGGTCTTCCACCAGCTGTGGTGTGGAGATCTGCTCCACCATGGAACACCTCCTCCTCTTCCTGCTCGGACCTGGGTGTTCCCTCTGCTCTTTCTCACTCTTTTTATTCTCTCCCTCCTTCTCTGGTGTTTTTTCCCCTTTCTTAAATAATTTTTTAGACTGGCACCACACACTTGGCTAAGGGTCTCAGCTGTGTCCTGTGGTGGGCCCATTGGAGCCGTCTGGAACTGTTTGTGTCCAGCACCAGACAGCCTCTAGTCTCTTCCCACAGAGGCCACCCTGCAGCTCCCGTGCTGCCAGCACCTTACCATGGACACCCAATACAAGTATTTATGACCTGATTTAGAAAGATCAGATCAATTATTACCTAATACAATTGTTGCTAACACCTACTAATCCAGTGAAATGCTCATAAGGATTGGTCATCATTGTCTCCTGTGGTGTGAGTACTGGGAACTGGAGAGTGTAAATAAGCAAGTATGTGCAAGCTCTGTTTTGGTAGGTGAATGGGTTCCCTTTAAAATGTTAGGAAAAAAAGAGAAAACTTAGCAACCGATACACAAAATAAGGTAGAGAGTTGCTAAAAATGTTTTCTGTTCATCATCTTTTAGGAAGTTCAACTTTTATTTTACTTTCAAATCCTTAAAATTTTCTTCTAAGAAGGTTAAAGAAATGCATGAGAGCAGCAAAGTATTCTCCAGTGTAAAAATTACTCAAAAGAAATAAAGGTAAACTTCAGCCCAGCAGAAATGATCAAAGTCTAATTTTACCTTGATTTTGTATATAGAATAACTGCCAGAGAGACACCCATAACATATACAAAAATGGATTCGAAGAGATTGATAACATGCCTGTAATTCAGTCAAGATTTTTTGACAGACCCATGAAGGTTTATGAGATTGTCAGAACTCTGAGACTGAATTACATCTTCAGTAATCAGTCTCCTTGTTCCCTTTCTATCCATTTCTTTATGACAGGTGTAAAAAAAATAGACAAGTCTTGAGGCTTTTAGTTTATTTGGTTATTTAGTTGTTTGCTTTCTTAGGAAAAGAGTTCAGTTGTGTGGGTTTTTTTTCTTTAATAGACGCAAAATATTACATGATGAGCTAATTTAGGGGCACAAATCCCGATGAGATAGATCATATAACACATGACTGTAGTTGCTACCCAGAAGTGGTAGAGGGTGAAGGTAGGTTATTACACATAACCATACAGTGTCACCAAATACCTATTTTGAATTGAAGTTCCTAATTTGCAAAGACAGCTACCATATATGTATATAAATTTTTGCTGGCATATCAGTTGTCTCTGTGCCTGAATTTGTCAGACAGCCACATAAGAAATTCACAGACTGTTATGATGTCTGTTAAGCCTGTTAATTTGTTTTGTAAACAGGGAAACTTCAGGAAAGTCAAGATGCTAAGCACCTTTATCTTGTACTACTTTCCAGGTAAACTACAGTTGTTAAGGAGGTTTCCAGCATGTATACTGACTATACTTCTTGCCTTTTTAATCTACCAATTTCATTTTTTAATGCAGCTGTTTTAAGCTGAGGTATACTATGATTGAGATGCTCTAGCACATCTGAAATCTTGTGGATCTTCATTTTCTGTTAATAGATTCAGTATATGGCAGTGACACAGCCATCTTTTTCAGTGTGTGAGAAAAAAAACCCCAACACAAACCATAGCATTCTGCTTGGTCTAATGCAACCTGTTTCATGGAGTGGGTCTATCAGCCTGCTAGGAACATGTATGTCCAGTACCTGAACATTTTTCAGTATTTCTGTTTGGTTGTGCTTTGGAGCCATGCCTTGAGTGACATGCCTCGTGTCACAACATCGGGGGGAGGCACACTGCTCGCTTGTTCTTGTGGAAAGCTCTCTGTTTTCAAAGACCACTTCCAGCACTCTGTAAGTCATCTCACTGAATCTTAAAATGAGGTAATCTGATGCTCCATTAAAAAAAATTGAGGGTGTGTGCTGTCATCTTTTACTTTTTCAAGGCTTAGGATTTCATGCCATTTCATACTATGCCTAAGGAAGAGCAAGCTGGTTCAATGTCTACTTTTGAGTTTATTTTTCTCTCTTCTACTGTTGGATGTCTGGCATTTTTAGGTTTTTAAAAGTTCCATTAAAGTTCAGTATCTGATTAGTATTAGTTGCAAACTAAGTCCTTTGGCAGAAAAGGTTCATGGATCTGCAGGTGAATTCAAATCTCTTTTAGCCACATTTGTAAATTAAGAATGCCTTTCTCTGAACATAAGTGAAAATACAAATTGAAATCAAAGGTAGATGTTAAAAAATGCAACCTATATGGCATTACATTTATGCAGCCAGCTTGTAACAGATTCTTCTAGACCTTAGTAACCAGGCTCAGCAGGGGGAAGTTGCACTATGAAGTTTAGGGCACAATCTTCCCTGAGATGACACGTAACTGATGAGACTCCTCTGTGCACGTAAATTTGTTCCTTTAGCTAAGATGCTCAGGAGAGCCATGCTCTGTATGTTATGCACTCCCTCTTCCAGCATAGTGGGATTATGCTAGGTACCATACTCTGTAGCTGCAGAGAGAAAGGGAGGGATGGATGGATTTGTTTCTAAATTTCTTGT